TGGATGCCATGGCCCCGACAGCCTGGGTTCGGTCGTCGGGCCTAGCCCTTTGTGGAGCGGGGCTTAGATCCGCCGCGCGAAGGCGTCGCGTGGCGGTTACGTACGAGGGCCTGCCTTTGCCCCGGTGCCTTTTGTGCGGGTAAAGCCCTCGTCTCAGCGTGTGCAGTGTGCGTGCATCCTCGGCCGCGCCCTGCCAATCCAGACGTGACTCTCTGCGAGGCACCCTAAACGCTTCAGCCCATGTGCAAGACACAAGCGCGCTCACAGTGATTACCCGAGGTTTCATCGACGACACAATCTTACCGACACAGCTCCTTGACCCAAAGGGCCAGGAAAGCTTTCCCTTCTCGTCAATAAAGCCTTTGATCAACTCGCTAGCGCACGGGGGGAGCGTCTGTCTGCTCCCCGGCCTTGGGGGGGGGGGGGGGCACGAATCATTGCGGGATTTTACACGAATCGCAACACCTCCTGTGCTTCCCCGTTAGCGGCGGGCTTTGCTCCCAGCAAATTGAGGCCGGGTACCTCTCATGCTCCCTTTCCATTGAGCCGGGGCTTTTTTTTTCGAGGGAGGGGGGGATCCATCTGGCGTTGAGCCAAGCATCGTCGATTGCCCAAAGGAAGGAAGGAAAAAGATGCCTTGATGCCCAAACAAGACATGCAGTCCCCGTGCCTGGCTTGTCGGAACCCTCCCTCGCCCTCGCCCTCGCCCGCTCGCCTCGCCTCGCCTCGCCGCCGATAACAACAAATGCCACTGACGGCAGGGCCACCGCCCGTCCGTGGCAGGCGGAACAAGGCGCCGGTGTTTCCGTGGCAGGTCACAAGCAAGCCCATTTTCTCCTTGTGCCTGTTACCCGCTCACAAAGCAACCCTAGCATGCCGCTCTGTGGGCGCGCCGACTCGACGAGACCAACGGCGGGCGTCCAGGCTCATTACCCCGGTCGCCGCAGCGCTCACATGCACACGCCCCCATGCTTGGCGCACCGCCTCTGGCAATGTTCGCCTCCCACGTGTGCCTGCTTATCGTTGCTTATCCGGCCATCGTGGGGACGCCCTTTGCTCCACCGCGTTTGAGAGCCCATACAACCACACCCTCGACGGGCCATGCGACCGTACCTGGATCCCGCCCATGGGGGTCTGCACCAACAATGGCTCATTCCACCCCCTTTGCCCACGCCCACGCCGTTTGACTGGCAGATATTCTCCCGGCCCGCCAATCACCACATGGCAGCCTTTCCCCAAGCATTTTGCCACCACCAGCTTGTTGGACCTTCTGCTTTCGGTTCGCGTTACCTAACCCGCTTCCTGCCAGCAACCCCAACCGTCCCGTCGTGAGTCGTTCCAGTTTACGTAGCCCGCTGCAAAGTTACAATGTTCAGCTCAAGCACTCAGGGTCGGCAAGGCTTGCTCACACGCCCCGACCCGGTGGTTCACTACTCCACCACGGCTTCGCTAACACTGCGTGCTTACTGTCACCTGCACGTATTCATCTCTTTGGCCGCTGGCCAGCCTGAGCTGGTCTACCGATACACGTCTGGAAAAAGCCTCTTTATCCAGACAGAACTGGTATATTGCCGCGTCAGAATCGTTGAAACTCTTTTCCAATTCGGCTTCTCAACCTCACCTCATGGTCGCACCATAATCATGCTGTCCCCTGTAATCTCAGATCGGCATCCTTGCTTTGGCTCTTCACCGCCAAAAAGGACGCGCGGAGAGCTGCCCTCTTGTCCCAAGCCAAGAACCAACGCGGTACATGTAAAGTCTACAGTGACATTACGAATGACTGCTTTGCTATCCCGCTTTAGAAGCAGAGTTGCAAGGTATTGTTGGATCACATCCAATACACCATATGCAGGCCAGCCAATCCAACACACGCAATACGGTACGTGTGCAGAGTACATGATCCTCACACGGTCCGAATCTATACTAAGAATATCGGCGCGAAATACCCTCAATGGGGCTCCTTCGGCCCGAGCAATACTTTGGTTCCCAGGCTGTTCACATGGTTTTTGGATAAATCGACCATTCAGCCTATCAAGTCGCTAGTGGTATAGCGGATTTCGATCCATAGCCAGTAGATACACGCGAGAACTCGAGGCTTTTCGTCTTAATCCTTTGTTCCAGCCGCATCAAGGTGCAGTTCCATCACGCAGTCACAATGTTGTAGCACATTCAACCCGTTAGTCCTGAACGCCTCACCTCGACGCTAACATGGTAGGGATCAAGACACGACGACATATTCCTGCCGACCCAGCGTATCACATGGCCTGCAACCCGTTCAGCTTGCAAAAAAATTTCACATCAGCATCCTCCGCTTGACGGCTGTCAGAGCCCCTTCGGTGCCCGAAGCATGCGGACCCCCCCTCCCTCCCACCATAATTCCCCGACCGTTTCGCGCAGCCTGAATCACTTTTACTCGTGTAATGCGTGTCTGACATGTCAAGCATACACCAAGCCCGCCATGATATACGACGGGGTCCAGTCATCATGAGCATCCAAGACGGCATGAACGCTTCGGCGATACAATGCTGACACCAGACGGGGCGAACGGTGAGGGAGGGACGGAGCGACACGTTCTAATCTTTCCGCCCCAGCTGACAATGTGACGTCGGGCATTTTGTTATGTTGCAGCCTCGAGGAGGGGGGGGGGTGCACGAGACATCAGTCATAATCGCCATTGTTTCTTTTTCAGACATGTCCGCATAATCCCGTTGGCCAACCCAAGACCTCCTTTTGCCACGGCTGAACGGACGGGAAGGGGAGAGTGAGGGGGAGGGGGGCGCAGCAACGCAACCAGCGGGAAATGACGAGGACAAGAGAAAGAAAGAGAGAGAAGGAAGAGAAAGAAAAAAAAAGAACAAGGGCCCAGTCACGAGAACGCTGCTCAAGCTCAAGCGGCTTCCGCTCTCCATTTGCCGCTTGACACGTTTCCCAAAATGTTTCGCAGCAAAAAATCTAGGGCCGCGGTTTCGACTACTTACTACATGCAATGCCGAGAACCAAGCAAAAAAAAAGGTTGGTATCCGATGGGGCCCTTGATGGCCCCCGAACGTGACGTACCTTTTTTTCTTTTTTTGGGGGGGGGGGTTTCCCTTGCCTCATACCCGACGTGCTGGGTTTGGAACTAGGGTGTTTTTTTTATTACCTACTACCTAGTTACTTACTACTACTACTACTACTACTAGGGGGAG